GGTCGTTATAATACTAACAAGTGTTCTGGGGTCAGATCATTCGCCGATGTGGGTTTCGCCGCGCCACAAACAAGACGCTGACCTATTTGCTTTGGGTGCGGTCAGCGTTGAGACACATTCCTCATATAAATACGTATATTTAGTATGATTTTTTTTCTCTCTTTCACTAAGTTGCTTTGGATCCTTTTAGATATTTTATGAACATGGCCACGTACCCGTTCACTTGAAATCGAAAGGCGGGCAGAGGTCACGCTAGGTCACAGCACGTAAAAAAATACGTCCTCTGTGATGGCTGGTACGAAACGGGAGAGAGAGAGAGAGAGAGAGAGAGAGAGAGAGGTTCAGCTATCTCCTTACTTTTTCCTGATCAATATATCACCTGCAACATCTAGTAAAATACTAGATAATAAAGTGAAAATAACTATCGAATAGATAATGAAGCAGTAAGACCAGAATCTGTCATTCACCAGGATTAGAATATCCACAAAGAAAAGGAATTTCCTTGCAAAATATGGTGCAGCATACCCATCTTGCAATGGTGTAACGCGGGCAACTTTGCGTTTGTGCAACTTCATTTTTTGTGAAACTACAAGATTTCTTTTCGTAAGCAAATATTTTTTTTAACTGCTTTACTTCCCAAACATTCATTTCTAAATCTTGGGAACACAGGGCCTTCAATTGATCCCCTCCACCTCCCACTGGCCAAGGTCAGGCTCACACTAAGCAAGAACCAATAGGATAGTTTTTTGTTACTATTCTCGTACTTCTTTACCTATATTACATCAATAAAGTTCTGAATATTGCTTAATGTGCCCCTGGAATACCCCATCCCCCCAAAAAAAATTAAAAATCACCCGACCGTGCTCGCTTCGCTCACAAATCCAACCTTACCTTAAAGGTAAAGCTGAAACGGGAATTGAGCCTTGTCATTTTCTTCTCCACAGACTTTAAAGGGAAAAATCTATTGCTTCAGTTTATTTACTCAAGGTATATTGCTAAAGCTTCAGGAGTCTAAACTTGCCTGAAGTACAATTGTGTTAGGCTTACTCGCTATAGTATTTAAAAATATTTTCTGCCAGCACGAATAACCTATATTGCAAAACTGCAATAAAGGTTACAAAACCTACTATAAACATAATATTATATTCCTGTATATCACGTATGAATATTTATTAACATACTCTGTGGGTCTCAATCACCGACCACACCCAGTGCAGTCAGGTGTTATCTAGGGGAAGTCCATTTTCATTTTTATACTTGACACGTCCCTCTTGACCTCTCGGAAGAAAATAATATGAAAGCAGGTCTCCTTTCTCAGGTTTGGATGATACACAGCACCATATGCAGACAATTTTTGTCTAATCCGACGATACCATTAAGAACGGTTTCCATGTGCCTTATTTTGGTTTTAAGCAACTACAGATTATCACCAGATTGATGAATAGTAAATACATGCCGAACATTTTAAATTCAACTCTCACAAAATTAAACAATATGTATTTAGTAGAAAATAGATTTAAAAAAGGCAAAATCCACCGTTTAGAATATTCGACAAACGGCAACTCAAGGAGGATTTGTGCCATGCAGGAAAAGTCTACGAAATTGTATGTAGTACAGTTCAGTGTGGCATATATTGCGCAGTTCTGGAGTGATCAATTTTATCTTCAGTTTTAAAGCTTATAAAAGGCCTCCCACGTGTTGTTTTAGGAAGGAAGCGAGTGAGGAAGATACAAGGTAATTGGTGTTCTGCAAGGTGATGGTGTCGTGCCTCTTTTTTTGCCTTACGAATTATGCAACTGTAAATAAAAAGCAGACACCTTATTTGTGTGTGAAATGTGGGCATTTTGTAGAGGTACTGGCTTTTTCAAGGGCGGGGACTTGATTATTGGCAAAGGAATGTTACAACTTTACAAATGCATATACTTAGAGTGTAGTGTTTGATATTATGATAGGTTGAGCTGCATGAGTTATATATTTCCATTATCATTATTATTATTTCTTGTATTTGCCTTCCAGTTGATAACGGAAGTGATGACTGCCATACAGTTAACATGATGTCAACAGTAAAACCCAAGAGCTTTATTCAGGAGCTTCCTGCAAAAGTGTATTTAGACCTTGAAACAGCACTGAATGATGGATATTGGAAGAGAATGGCACTCCTCTGCAGAAATGGACTTGGCAAATGCATTTTTAGGTTTGTAAGGAAAGGGCATTTTATAATAGTTTGCCCTCAGTTACTTTATTTTGCCATTGAAATTTATTAAAGTATGCAAAATTAGCTTACCAGAGTTACTGAAATGAAAACTATATTTGGTGATCATGGTTCATTTAATTGGAAAATGGAATGATAAATTTATGATTCACAAATCCACATTATTATATTTAAGAAATGATAATGTCAGTTGTTTCAATCTAATATGAAAGTGGCAAAATAATAAGAATCATAGTGAAAGTAGTCTGTAATTGCATTTTTTTCTTACAGTACTCATCAGTTATTGGAGATAGAGAAAAGCAGTTCACCAGCAAGAAAGCTCCTTGATCACTTTAAGCAACATAGTATGGAGGTTCAGGTCTTACAAAAGCTTTTAAGGAGCCTGCAGTTATACGACATCCTTGAGAATATTGTAACTAATGGTAAATATTTTAACTGTAGTTTGAATTATATGCTATAGAATGTATGCAAACATTGTTAAGTATCTCTAATGAGATCTTGATTAAAGAGCTTGTAGTATGGATATGACGTACTATTATTTACTGTATTTCTTTTATATGATCTGTTTGTGTGATCCAGAGTCACAACCTTTTCTCATGCTGCTCTTTTTTTTCATGGCAGTTCCAGTGTCGGTTCTGAAGCCTACAGAAGACATCCAAGAGACCTTTGAGATTGGCGAGACGGTGCACTTGATGATAGAGGCTGAAGGTTCCCCAGAGCCAACCTTCGAGTGGACACACAATGGCCAACCATGTCCTGGCGCAGTATCCAGAATTTTTGAAATAAGGAATTTCAGGTTGGTGATAGACTTGAAAGACAAATATTCTTGAAATCCATACCTTCATGGTGATTCATTCAGGTTAATGATGAGATCTTAGGATGGTTATGGGGTGAAAAGCAAATGATGTATTGATTATATTTTTTTCACTTTTAATATCTCTTATTTTTTTCAATCCATTACCTTTAATCAACAGCCACTCTTGATAGTAACATACATATGTGAGTAGGAATCAAAAACATATATTAATATGTTTTTGTATATCTGTGTATTTGTGTATACGTATGTATATATATATATATATATATATATATATATATATATATATATATATATATATATATATATATATATAATTTATAAGAATCATCATTATCATCATCATCGTCATCATTATTATATTATCATCAAGCAGCAATCGTCACTATATATTATCATCACGATTATCATTATTATCAGTATAATTTTCATCTTCATAAGAATTATTATTAATTGATGCATGATATTAATGCTGATGATGATCTTTGTCATCATCATTATCATCATCATTATTACAAGGATCATTATTGATAGACAAATAGGTAATGCTATTCATCATCACCACCACCATTAAAAGAATCATCAATAAAGAATATAGTTATTATTCAATATGAATAGTTCTGTAGTCATTAATATCAATATGGCTTTATGCTAGTATTCTTGCAGTCCTCTAAGCACACCTTTCTTTTAACAGCCCAGAGACCGAGGGGGAATATGTGTGCCATTTGACGCAGAACATTGGAGAGGACACAATACAAGTTTCCTCACCTAAGTTTCATTTGTTAATGAAGAAAGCTGTGCCAAAGATAGAAGTTGACTTGGAAGATACATTTTTAGAGTATGGAGAGGAAGTAGGTGGCTTGTTGGCAATTTTCAGTTTTTATCTTCATCGTGCTTTAATTTATTCCTTCAGTTTTGTTGTTCTTCTATATACTTCTTATTCATGCTTGTTATTTCCCTTTTGTTCAGATTTTTCAAAAAGGGTAATAATGTTAAGATGAATTATATAGATAACAATGATGAAACAATGATAATCATTCATAATATTTTATTAGATTGATTGGTACTGAAGGGTTTTGTCTCATAATGCTAACATGTTTTATTGCCTTATCTTGCCCTTAGATGATGTTATCTTGTAAGGCAGTTGGGTGGCCAAAACCAAGCTTTAAGTGGTACAAAGACTGTCATCTTCTGAAAGGTTATACTGAATCAACATTGAAGGTTGGTAATGTTTTTCCCTTTTATCTTGACAAAAAGGATTAAATGATGTTATGCAAAGAGGTTCCTTAGAGAGAAAGAGAGAGATTGAAGTCAATTTCAGGGTACAGCCAGATGCATAGCCTGTATGATATAAATGATGTAGATAACAGTAATGCAGAAGCAGAATTGCCTAATGTTAGAAGAAAAATATCCTAGAAAAGTATGTGGATTTCTTTTTTTTTTCTTTTTATTATAGAGAGCCTATAGAGTATACAATCTGAACTTAACTAGCAACACATGATCGATAATTTCAATTGTCTAAAGTCTTTTGATTAATGTCTATACAAGTGGCTTCCAACCTGCTCAGCAACATAGCTCCAAGGGCTTTGAAAGATTTGTCAAGTCATTAAGCCAGTTCTGTGAAAAAAATTAACTTTCCCAATTTCATTTCACAGTTGAAAGAAAAATGTGACTGTATAGATGATTAAAATAAAGCAATATTAGATGACACATTTGGGGTCTAGGAACCTCAGATTTGGAACTGTTGGCTTGTGTTTATAAAACTAATATATGAAGTTGACTCAAAGAACATGATGAATTCTAAATAGGTAGAGGAGAAACTGCACATCTTGATTTCATACTATAAAACTTAATGCAGTTTTAAAAAGTTGCATAATAGCATCCTCTTTATATTGCAGATAACAAATGTGGATCTTTTAGTGTCTGGTTCATACTACTGTGAAGTTAGCAACGAAGTTGGACAGAAATTTT